GGTAGAAGCTCTGGTTAAGTACAACGACTGCTTTATCGATCACATGTTATATGCGTGATGTCGAAAACGTCGATAATGATGTTTAACCGGCAAGTAGTTGCTTTCAAGTCTGCTCTTTCGTTATCGAAGGAGGAGGGAAGAGAGGGGACCCTGCAAAAATCGCGACTACTCCATGCATGCGTGTAAAGAGTACTCCCTAAGGACCAAAGAGTACTCCAAAATTAACCACAATNGTTCGGTATTGTCATATACAAAAATTTTAGACAATTGTTGCTATACACAAAAATTGCTGTGATACCGAAAGCCAGAGAACTGAATTTATGCTGTAAGAGCTTCAAAGATTAGGGCACAGTTAATTGCCTATACGATATCATACAAAATATATTAATTGTGCGCGTTATGTACATCTGAAATTCTCATTTCGTGTTGGCAATAGCTATGAAAACCATAAATAACGTGCAACCCTGTGCCAAACTCGACATAACCACCTCCGAGCAAACTAAGCAGCCGCCATTTAATTTGGCAAACAAAAGTTTGTCTGCATAACACCGACCTAACTTGCAAGTTTTCTCTGGGAAAAATTTTTCCATCACATTTCGCTCTCTCAATTTCCCATACTTTGCAAGTTTTTTGGGTACGAGAACGCAAAACCAGTAAAAGTTTTCTAAAACTTTTAATAGTTTTGCGTACAAGTACACTCCTTTTATAATTAGGGAATATTACAGGAGGAGTGGACTCGTACCCAAAACCATGGTGGAAAAATAGTTGCGTTCGCGTAGCTGTTAATTGTTCATGTTTAACCAAAACTTACAAGTTTTTGCGTTCGCGTACGCAAAAAACTTGCAAAGTAGGAGAAGTTGAGAGAGCAAAGTGACATTTCATTTTGAGGGGAAGCTGCTGGTTTCTGCTGGAAAAACAGCTGGTTGGCATTTACGCAAATCACAAAATTGAATTTGATGGTTTGGAAGTTAAAAATTACAAAATGCGACTAATTAAACTTGTAAGAAATAGGTAGTTATTTGTTTAATCAATAATATGACCTTTTTGAATTAGTTATGGCAAATTTTATTATTAATGCTAGTATACAACTAAAAAGAGAATAAAGTTATTAAACGCAAAGTTTGTTGACTTTATTTTTAAAATTCGAAAATACGGTTATTTGGGAGGTGGGGCAGATACTCGTATCTCAAAGACTGCTTGAGTTATGGTGTACACGGACAAAAAATCATTATTACTAATTACCAGATTACGAAGGGAAGTTATAATAATCATTAATATTACAACTGACAAACGGGGCACCGAAATTGCGCATATGGAAACTGTGCATTTAGACATTATTTCGGTTTCAACCGAAACTGTGCATGTATGCTTTATTTCGGTTTTT